CAGAGTATGTTTCATCTATTGATGGACATTTGGATCATTTCCAGGTTTGAGATATTATAAAGTTGCAATGAACATTCATATACAGGGGCTTCATATCATATCTCCTGGATAAATATCTATGGCTCTGTAGAGTAAGCACTGAAACTTAGAATCACAACCAGCCACTCCACAGGAGAAAGATAAGGTTTCTGCTCCCGCAAAAGATTTACAGCCTCAGAAACCCTATATAAGGACTTAACCCAATAAAAAGACCGGATGGCACTTGTCAACAACAATAATGTTGTTGTTGTTAGGTGCCGTTGAGTTGGTTCCCACTCATAGTGAACTATGTACAACAGAACAAAGCACTGCTTGGTCCTGCGTCATCCTCACAACTGTTGTTGGAGCCCATTGCTGCTGCTGCCACTTTATCACTCCATCTTCTTGGGAGTCTTCCTCTTTTTCACTGACCCTCCACTTTACCAAGCATGATGTCCTTCTCCAAGGATTGGTTCCTTCTGATAACGTGTCCAAGTATGAGAGACAATGTCTCACTATTCCTGGCTTCTATGGAACATTCTGACTGTACTTCTTCCAACAGATATTTATTTATTCTTCGGGCAGTCCATGGTACTTTTAATATTCTTCTCCAACACTATAATTCAAATTCAGTGAGTCTTCTACAGTCTTCCTTATTCATTGTTCAACTTTTACAGGAATATGAGACTATTGAAAACACCATGGCTTGAGCCAGGCACACTTTCTCAAATTGATAACATTTAGAACAAATAAGATGGCAGATCGGGTGGAAGTGCAGTAAGGAGTTCTGTCAGCAACAACACAGAATACCAGACCAAGCAGTCTCAGGGAATGGTTCCAGAACTCTGAACCACATATAAAGGAATATTTAGAAGGTTGGAAGGCTTAAAGCTAGGGGAATTTGTAGCAGAAGCAAGAAATCCTGTGCTTTCTAATACAAGACACTTAGCTGCTCTTAGAGCCGCCATCTTGGGCAAGACCGAACGGGGGAAGGATCAGAACAGCCACGGACGGATGCCTGACAGAACCACGGAGATAAAGGTATGGACATTCTCTTTTTTTGTATCTGTTCCTGGGACTCTTGCTGGCTGCGCACCTCCATTCTGGTGACTAGTGGGGGTGCCTGAGCGAGTGGACACTCCACCCCCATCCTCGGAGGGTTCTACTACGCATGCGCACAGATCTCCTCAAAATTTAAAGGGGCAGCAGTTTCCACTTAAACCCAAACCGCAGTGCAAAACTACCACAGTCGGCCCTGAACTGTTTATCACTAGGAAAAAGGCCTCAATGGGGATTGTGGAGCAGGACAGGCAGACTAAAAAGGAAATAGGCTGAATATTAAATCCTGAGTTACAACATAACGACCAACAGTGGCATCTTGAAATTTCTCAGGAAGAAGAGTGAAAAGGGAAGCCCGTCTCCTGATCACATCTACCTGGAGGCAATCAGAAAGCATAATATACCAAAATACACACCCATCTAAGTATTAAGGCCACAGAAAACTCCTTAATATGCCCCCAAACAGAAGTAGATGACCATATCAGCACATGTCCAGAAACGAGATAAAATGACTGAGGCAAATGAGTTGGAAGTAGACCTACACTCCATACTGGAAGGAGGGCAGGCTTTGGAAAATGCCTGAGAAGGAATTCAGAAAAATGCCTATAAAATGTATCAAACTGATAATATTTGCTCTTTTTTAATTAAAATTTTTTATTGTGAATTGAAGGTTTACAGAACAGATCATCAATCCCACATTTAACAAATCACATGAATCATAGCATTACAATGGTTGTAATTCCTTCAGTGTACCATCAGTTAATAGTATTTACCTCTATTCACTTTTAACTCTTGCACTCCTCCATTTCTTTCACTACTTTCATCTTTCCTGTGCCAACCTCCCTCATGTATATTGCCTTCCCCATCACCCAAGTTAACATGTGTCTACCCTCTACCCACTGAATAATTTTCCCTTCATTCCCACCTCTGGTAACCATCATAGAATGTTTCTTTTAACAAGAAAATGCAAACTTTCAGATAGTCTTCTTTATATTTTGATGTAAAGGTATATTAATTTTATCATGATGTTATTTATTGGTCCAGTTGTGAGGATCTTCGTTTTCTTTACATTGAGATGCAATCCATACTGAAGACTGTAGTCTTTGATATTCATCAGTAAATATTTTAAGTTCACTTCCAGCAAGCAAGGTTATGTCATCTGCTTATCACAGGCCATTAATGACTCTTCCTCCAATCCTGATGCCACCTTCTTCATATAACCCAGTTTTTTGTATTATTATACGCAGCATACAGACTGAATAACTATGGTGAAGTATATAACCCTGGCACATACCGTTCCTAATTTAAAACCATTCAGCATCCCTTTGTTCTGTTGAACACTGCCTCTTGGTCTATGTACAGGTTCCTCATGAGCACAATTAAGTGTTCTGGAATACCTATTCTACGCAATGGATACAAAGTTTGTCATGGTTCACATAGCCAAAAGCCTTTGCATAATCGAAAAAGTATAAATAACCATCTTTCTGAGTCTCTGCTTTCATCCAAAATCCATCTGATGTCAGCAATGATATCCCTAGTTCCAGGTCCTCTTCTGAATCTGGATTCAGTTTCTGGGATGACATCAAGAACATCATACAAAAAGAAACATAAGGTCATTAAAAAGACAGGTAAGAAAGAAAAGAGCAAAATGGATGTCAGAAGAGACCTCGAAACTTGATCTTGAGCATAGAGAAGCTAAAGCAAATGGCAGAAATGAGGAAGTAAAAGAGCTGACCGGAAAATTTCTAAGGACAGCTTGAGAAGACAAAGTCAAGTGTTGTAATGAAATGTGCAAAGACCTGGAGTTAGAAAATCAAAAGGAAAGAACACACTCAGCATTTCTCAAGCTGAAAGAACTGAAGAAAAACTTTAAGTCTTGACATATAATATTGAAGGATTTTTATGGTCAAAGTTCTGGTGTGGTACTGTAGGATAAGCACTGGACTTGCTAACCAAAAGCTCAAAGGTTCAAACTCATCAAGCCACTCCTTGGAAACCCTATATAGGGTCGTTATGAATTGGAACTGACTCTATAGCACACAACAACGACAATGGTCAAAATATTTGAATGATGCAGGAAATATCAAAAGAAGATGGAAGGAATACAGAGTCACTATACCAAAGAAAACATTCAGTGGTCAACTATTTCAAGAAGTAGTACATGATCAAGAACTTATGGTAGTAAAGGAACAAGTCCAAGAAGCATTCAGGGTATTGGTGAAAACAAGGCTCCAGGAATTGATGGAATACAAATTGAAATCTTTCAACAAATTAATGCAGCACTGGAAGCACTCACTCATCTATGCCAAGAAATGTGGAAGATACGGCCTGGCCAACTGATTTTGAAGAGATCCATATTTGTGCCCATTTCAGAGAGGTATGGAAATTATCAAATGATATCATTAATGGAAATCGCATGTTTAACTTTTTAAGAAAGTACCAAATTGTTTTCCAAAGTGGTTATGCAGTTTTACATCTCCACTGGCGTTGTCTGGGTATGTCAATACCTCACTTAATGAGTCTTTAATTTTTGCCACTACAGTGCGTGTGTAAGGAGACCTGGTGGCATAGTGTTGTGCTACTAACCACAACGTCAGCAGTTTGAATCCATCAGCCACTTTGCGGGAGAAACCCTACACAGGGTTGCTATGAGGTGGAACCAACTTGAGGGCACACCACTACCACTAATGAGTGTGTGGTGGTTATCACATTTTAGATTAAATTTGCATTTCCTGAATGTCTTGTGCTTTTTTGCATCCATTTATCTTCTTTAATCTTTTCAAGTCTTACACCCACTTTTGAAATCTGAGTTGTTTCTTATTAATGAGTTGTAAGAATTCCTTATGTATTCTAGATACATGTTTTGCAAAGATTTTCTCCCATTTTGTGGATTGCGTTTTCATTTTTATAACAGTCATTTGAAAAGCAAAAGTTCTTAATTTCAATGAAGTCCAATTTATGGATTTTGGTGAAGAATATTAAACACACCATAAAATGCCAGGAGAATGAACAAATTTGTGTTGGAGGAAGTACAGTTAGAATGCTCCTTAGAAGTAAAGATGGCAAGCCTTTATCTCATTTACTTTGGATATGTTATATGGCAGGAACCAGTCCTGGAATAAGACGTCAAGACTGGAAAAGTAGAGGGTCAGTGAAAAAGAGGAAGACAATCAATAAAACGGACTGACACAGAGGCTGCAACAATCCGCTCTAGTATAGCAATGATGGTGAGGATGGTGCAGGACCAGACAATGTGTGGTGCTGTGGGCTAATGCGTCTGAAGGCAAAGTCGTTTCAACTGCAAGGTTGGTTGTTCAAGCTCACCAGCTGCTCCTTGGAAACCCTATACAGGGTCACTATGGGTCGGAATAGACTACACAGCACTTAACAACAACAACAACAAGACAGGGTCACAATGAGTCAGGACCAACTCGATGGTCATTAACAACAACATATATAAATATGTATATATCTTTTTTAAAATTTAGAATATTTAAAATGTTCATTTCTAGTAGCATAGTCCAGCACATTGTTTCTAAATACGCTGCCAGAATCAAATAAATAATGACAACATTCCATTAAAACAAATAGAATAGCATCAAATGTTCTGCCTAATTTAAAAACCCTAAAGGGTAAAAAAAACAAAACACTCCAACCTAGCCAATAGGCAACTTGAGTCTATTATTAACAAACAAAAATCTGAATTCAATGGAAACTAATGGATATTTTGTAGGACTTTATATAAGTCGTTCATTTAAAATATTTTAAAACTAATAAATAGAGACATGTGAAAACACAGTGTTTGTTAAATATACTACCTGCCTGGTAGGTTATTTAATGGTGAAATAAGTTAGTCTGTATATTTTACATGGAATTCAGATGCTACAGATCTTAAAAAGATAATATAAATCATGAGACATCACCTCATGTGATGCCTTCATTATGTTTTTGCCGCTAATATACTTGTAACCATGACCTTCAGTATGAAGAAAAATTTTAAACACGATGAAAGGTGGAAACTTCTCACCACTAAATCTGAAATAAAGAGCAAAAGTTAGTCATTTGGCTTCAGAATTTAGGTTCAGTTACTTTTCTTCATTGTATGTAAGAATGTATATAGTTTCTGGAATGCAGGGTAAAAAAGCAAGACCATTTATATTTTTAGAGCTCTACCAAAGCATATAAGGAACTGAGTGAAGTGGATTATCCAAGATGAAAACCCCACACTTTTGTGTGCTCACAATTATGTCCATACACACGTCAGACTGGACCCAATGAGCACTGAGAGCTACCCTCCAGGCAAAGTCTGGGGCAAGTCATGCCTCAATTTATTCACATAAGAAATGTAAATAAGAACAACACATTTACTATGTAATTATACTCTGAGAAATGATGAGGATTTGAGTAAATTTATATAATTTCATCATATTAACTTAAGTATTTTAAAAAGTAAATCAACATACCTGAATCTAACTCTACACTTCATGGCTGGATCTTTAATCAGCTTAGCCTCTAGCGGGCTAACTTTTTTTAGTATTTCATATGTTACAAAATGTTCCTGAAATAGATGATAGTGCAGTTAACAGAAAGCAGTACCCTGTCCAGACACAATTTACTGACAGTAACAGAAGTAGCATAGTAAAGAGAATAGTACACTGGATCTGGAGTTCTGAAGACCTGGATTCTAGTCTTGACTTTAGAGAGTGCTTCAAAAAATTCATGGAAAACTTCCACTCTCTTTCTATTCCATTTTCCACTAACTTTTGGAAGCCTCTTTGTGTTATTCATGTAGACCTGAGTCATTTGCTTGATCATTTTGGCTCCCTAAGTTGGGGAATGTGTCCCTTCTTGAGATCCCAGGCACTGCTACGTCCCTATGACAACACTCTTCACAATGTGCTAGAACCTGTAAACTTGTCTGTATCTCCTACTAGACTATAACTTTCATGAATGTAGGGCTTTCTTGTTTACCATGTATTCCCAGAATCTAGTACAGTGCCTGGGACACAGAAGGTGCATAACAAACGTTTGACACTGAATGAATCACTGTAAAATGAGGATGATAAAGTAAAAAGTTAATAGTTTTAAAGTACCTTTTATATGCTAGAATCTATGCCAGGTCCCTGCTAACATAACTTCATTTAATCTTGTTGTTGTTGTTGTTATGAGCCGTGGAGTCGGTTCTGACTCATAGCGACCCTGTACAGGGTTTCCGAGGCTGTAAATCTTTATGGGAGCAGAAAGCCTCATCTTTTTCCCATGGAACTGCTCATAGTTTTGAACTGCTGACCCTGAGGTGAGCCCAATTCGTAACCACTACACTACCAGAGCTCCTTCATTTAATCTTACAACAGCAATATTATTAAAACATCTATCATTCATTTGCATTTTACAAAAAGAATGCTGAGGCTGATGGAATTTTAGTAACTTATCCAAAAGGCATATAGGGAGTAAACTGGGGAGTGAACATTTAAACCTAGATCTGTTTGACTCTAAATCCTATACTCCTTTCCCCATATGACCCTATGTAACCATTATGCTTGTGATAATCACATAAAATATACACTAAAAGGCTTTTAAAATGCGAAAGCATAATTAATGTAAGATAGTAACATGAAGCATTAAGATAACAGATAAAGAAAAAAGAATTAATTTGTTTCTAAAAGAGTCTAAAATTTACAATTAAACAAGTAGTGTAAGTCTTCGATGGGAGGATAATGGACATTGAACTTGAAATGTCAATAGTTTACATGGGTGGGTGTTCTCTGAGGCATTCTAAATTTACTAACATCAGAAATAGGTCTGTGGCTCAGAAGGTGAACAAGGATACACATTATTCAGACTTCATCATTTTTCAGAGTTGCTAGGATTCCCTTAATGTGACTGTCACTAATAATAGACTACTAGAATAATGAGGTTTTTTATTAGGAGTATATTTGGTGCTATATCAAGGAAGGCTTAATGTTCTGCTGGGGATGCCAAATTGTTTCTCTGGAGAGCCGGGTGGAGCGGGGGTGTAGGGGGTCACTATGACATTTTTTTTTTTTTACTCAAATAGGATCATATTATTCATACAGTTCTATACTTGACTTTTTCAGTAATGAGATAGCTTGGATAGCTCTGTATTGAAACATGATAATGGCTGTAATGTTTAATACTATGAAAGCACCAACATCTACTTAACCAGTAGCCTACTGGTCATCCACATTAAAACTAAAAAGGAGCCCTGGTAACGTAGTGGCTTACATGTTGGGCAGCTAGCCACTCCACAGGAGAAAGAGGAGGCTTTCTGCTCCTGTAAAGATTTCCAGCCTCGGAAACCCTACAAGGGTTTGTTATGAGTTGAAACGGAATTGACAGCACACCAAAAAAAATAAATAAATAAATAAAATAAAATAAAAAAATAGATAAATCACATTAAAAATGAATCCAGAAATATTCATTTATGGCTAACAAAACACATTAAAAATGAATCCAGAAATATTCATTTATGGCTAACAAAAGAAACAATCCCAGAACCCCATGCTATATTATTAAATCTAAATAGAAGAGATAAAGAAGGTGATATATTTTATTTTTATTAACAGATCATTTAACTTGATAATTAGATTTATCATTGAAAACATGTTGAATACATACTGCTGCACAAACTGTGTGTTTTAGGAGCTTAAATATTGTCTTATCGATATAAGAAAACCAGGCATACTGTATTATTTGAGCTGCAATATCTTGTTTAGTTCTGAGAGAGAGGAAAAAAGAGGTTATGATTTATAAAGGAATTCTAGTTTTCCTAAAATCCTTCCTCCTGGTACACCTCCCCACCCTCAACCCCAAGACTGACTTAATAAGAAATATTTGGATGTGGTCACTGAAATTGGTCATTTTCAGAATCTAGTCAGGAGGAAAGGGGGCTTGTTGGTGTAGTGGTTAAGAGCTCATCTGCTAACCAAAAGGTCAGCTGTTTGAACCCAACCCAGTTGCTCTGTGGGAGAACCATGTGGCAGTCTGCTTCCATAAAGACTACACTTGGGGCAGTAGGTTTGGTTTTGGTTGCAAAGGATATGAAATACTAGAGTATATTTCTCTTGAGATTTAAAACAAAACAAAAAATGCCCTGACCAAAAGTTTATCATCTAAAGGCATAGTATAAACAAAAAGCATGAGACAAACTTGATTTTGAAAAACCTTCATGACTTAAAATGATTCAGTTCCTAGCTAGGTAGTAATAAACGTGATCAACTAGTTCAAGTGCTATGGGAATGAAATGTGAAATGGTCTACGTTATTATAGGCTCTTTCTGGAGTCGATGACCATGCCCCAGAAAAAGAATCTCTCATTCTTCACTTGTATCAGTATTTTGGCAGTTATGCCAGAGAATTTATTCTACTTTGGCTCTTGTCTCAGCACTGGCAGATTGTTATTACCCCTAACTACGCTACATGCAAACAGAGATGGTGGTGGTGGTAGTTATATGCCATGGAGTGGGTTCTGACTCATAGCAAGCTTGCACAGGGTTTCTGAGGCTGTAAATCTTTATGGGAGCAGAAGGCCTCATCTTTCTCCCATGGAACAGCTGGTAGTTTCGAACTGCTGACCTTGAGATTCGCAGCCCGATTCATAACCACTGCACTATAAGGAAAATCTCTAAGAAGTGATTATTTTAAAAATT